TGTCCCTGTTGATGGCGAACATTTGCAAATGAGGCTGTTTAGGCTCTTGGCTGATGATCCTGTAAGCGATGGCAGCGTTGTAGGTGTTCACTTCGTCGTCCGCGTCCGTGGCTGTGACCTGCATCACGGAGGTTCCTGGAAGCATCGAAGGAGAGGGAGACACTCAAGCTGCACTTCAGGGTCTGGTCAGTACTGCTCAACTCAACACTGTCCACAGCGTTAAAGGCTGGGCCCCAGGGACACACCATGTCATGGCTCTTCTGATTGCTAATTGCCAAATGTCTTACCAAAGTACTAGAGGAGGAAGGAAGACTTCCATCAGATGAGCAGTGTTCCAAGACATTTTGGGTGCGGGTGGATATGAGGGGGAGATGGGAAATAGGGATACGGTTAAACTAAAACATTTTGCATGACTCTTATACTGAGTGAATAGCCTGAGAAATAGAAAGATCCCAAGATTTCCACAATTGGCTTCTCGGCCACAGCTTCACATGAGGGAATGGGTCCTATGAGTTCATTGCCTTCAAGGTGGGAGAAAATATTTATAACACCAGTGACTGACAGGACTAGTTCCTAGGACACCTAAATAACTCGAAGAGTTTATAGGAAAAAGACAAATAGCCCAAAGGAATACAAAGGCAAAAGACGTGAATAGACAAGTCGTCAAGAAGAAACGCAACCCTGTCTGGTGTGGCTCAGAGGTTGAGCATCAGCCCAGGAACCAAGAAGTCTCTGGTTCGATTCCTGGTTGGGGCACCTGCCAAGGGCTTGGCTCAGCGCCCAGTGGGGAGTGTGCAGGAGGCTGCTAATCAATCATGTTTCTCTCTCATCAATCCTTCTCTCTCTCCATCCCTCTCCCTTTTTCGCCCTCTAAAAAAATCAATAAAAACATTTTAAAAAGAAAACAAAGAAACTCATAGGCCAACAAACATATGATAACATACTTAGCCTATTAATAATCAGAGAAATGCAATTATAATTGCACTGAGATATAATTCCTCATTGACTGAAGCTTAAAAAGTCTAATAATCACAGGACATACATGGCTCTTGGGAGTACACACTGGTTAGGCCACCTTGGAAAACAGTTTATCACCATGTAGCAAAGTAGGAAAAAGTAACAAGGTTTTTATCTAGGGGCAAATTCACACACAGAAGACAAATTGAG